GTTTAAAGTTAAAAGAAAAACTCCTAAAAAGTATTATTACTAGTGTTCTGTTTGTCAGCGTGATTTTGTGGCCAGTTCAGGACATTTACTGTCGGTGTATAACACAGAGGATCCTCTATTTTATACGTAATGAGTTATTTATTAGATTGACTGCAGAGCCCGATCATTAGCATATTTTTTTGTTTCTAATTAAATTTGTAATGAGTTCAAACTAATAGCCTCGGTGCTATTGAAAGTTTTCTTATACATCTCAGGTCATTAAAAAATAGTTGTTAAAAGTTTATAGCCTATTATAATATCTAAGAAGACTGGAACCACTAGGAGAAAAAATTTTGAGACAAAGCACATAAAAGAGCAGCTTGTTGCAAAGACCTAACCTCTAAATAGTAAAGAATATTAAATATAATTAGTTTTAATTTTTTTTGTCATAATTTGTGTGCGTTCCACTTAAATTTAAGATCTGTAAAAGTCGTAAATTGTCTGGTTAAGTTACGTTGCCATTAACCAATTTTAAAAAACTTTAAGTGTAACTATATATTTTATATTCGCCAAGGAGCTTAATCTTAAACATGCACAAGTTTAATTTGTTCACGGCGTAGAGCGTAAGGGGCCTGGAGTTAACTTTGGGAATGCTAGACTGTAAGGCTGAAAGTATGCGGAGAACCAAGGTGTATATCTAAAAAAAACTGAAACAACGTCTGGTACAGAAAAAAATTATAGTTTTGTTTTTTATAATTATTTTTCTTTTTTATTATATATTCATTGATTTGTGCTCAAAAAGCTTCAAGGTCTGTTAAGTGGTAGATTGGACCTTTCGAAGGTCGAACTATACACAAGGGTCTGTGGATTCCTTTTCCACCAGGTTCTACAACCATGAGATTAGTTACACCATCTGGAAGGCTTGCTGACTTGGAAAATATTCTTTTATGATGTTAACTAATTTTTAGCAAATAATCGATTATCCGTTTTTTATTAGTGTAGAAAATAGTAAGTCAATGTGAAGATTAAGGCGATATTTTTTTAAGAGGAATTGGGTGAGCATTCCAGTATTTTGCGAGCAAATCATTTTACTACATGGTCTCCATAGCGATTTATATAAAGTTCAGACTTATTTTTTAACAGTTTTGCGAAATTTTATGCAAAAAAGGGCAAATCTTCAAGAGTAATATAAGTTCCTAAGAAGTCCTATGCCTTTAAAACCTCTAAGATCTTAAAAATAATCGGGAACGATAGAAAACTATAAATATAAAGTTTTACCTCAAATATAACATCCTTTTCTTGGTTTTTTTCTCTTTCTATTTTTTGTCTCCTACTGACCTTTTAGACCCTTAGTAGTTATATTTTGATATAAAAATAATAGTCTTGAAACTTTGCTATACAAACAGAAGCAGAGATGTTTTTTTCATCTAGCCGGTATCGAGCACTGGCTGCGTACTTTGTGCCTAAGATCTTTTAAAGGAGTTTTTTCTACTTCTGCAGGTTTTATTTAAAATTACCTTGTTTGCAATCAGTGTCTACCCTTACAAGCCCCTATAATTATCGATGTGGGGAGAAGAAATGTAATAATACGGCCTCAGGTCCGGAAGGTTTATAGTATGTGTGAGAAAAGTGTACGTGTTTTCGGATAAGTAACACCACTTCCCCAAGTTCTTTTTGACTACATTAATACTTCTATTTACAAGATTAAAGTTCTGTAATATTCTTAATTAAATTTAAATATCAGGTTTTCTGATAGACTTATTTTGCGTGCGTATACCGCTATAAAAAATGAAATGGTTGCACAGCAATAATATCTACGATTAGTATTTTAAACTTATTTAACAATATCTTGAGTTTTTACAACGCGCTTTTATAGGTATTTATAGTTTCTACGACATAAATTAGTTTTAACATTCATTATGTACTAACTATGCTAGGCCTAAAGTTTTTTTTAACCCTCTATTATAATTATTCATAGTTTGTAAGGTACGACTATCATTAGATTATATTAATAATTTTATGATGTATTAGCTTATTTCTGTGTCTTAAGTTTAAGTTAATCCCGTTAGAATTATTTATAGTTAGTAATACACATTTATCCAAATAATATATTGCTTATTGTTATAATGCATTCTTATTTTTGTCTTATGTTTTCGTTAAATTTATTATTTAACTAAATCTACAATATACTATTACACTTATAGTATATTGTCTATAATTTATAATATATTTATTTATTGTTGTCTTAAGTTTCGTTAACTTGTTCAATGTTTAAAGCCTGTAATATACGACTATACTAAAGTTATATTGCTTGTATAACGAGACTCCCCAACAGCGCGCACACGTTATCCATTGTAGAAACCTAGTAATCTAGATATTATCCTGCACAAGAATACTGCTTTCCGGAACGGATTGTTTATTTTATAAATTCGGGAAAACTCTTAACTTTTGCATATGCTTGTATATATATATATAAATATATATAAATAATTTTCATGAAGAAATTATATAATAAACCTTTAGAAAGCTTGAGTATTCCAAGTTGATAAACTCACTTGAGCGCTTATTGATAAGTAAATAATAAAAAGTTTCTTTGCGTTTTATAATAGTTTTAAGCTAACGTCATGGTTGTAACAATAACTTCTAGAAATAGAATAAAGTAATGATAAGTTTTAAAAAATTGGGGTATTATAAAAATAAAAATAAAATAAAAAAGTCACTTGTAGTTGGGCTGTTACGTTCTTGCAGCGGTTTTGTATTAAAAATTTTTTAGTGCATTTTATTAATTTTTTATATAAAGGAACTAAACTACTTTGAACATTATAATAAAACGGCTTGAACAACTTCTCAGCTCAGCTGCCGTAATAAATATTAAGCTCTACAAAGCGAGGCTGAACTTATATAAGAAAACCAACGAAAAATACGAATGATCGGGGAAAGCTTCGCTATATTATTATTGAAATCTACAGTATGAATATATAAAAATATTTTAATTTTTTAAGAATTTTTCTTCTCAAAAAACGTTTCAGTTATATAAGGCTTTTTATCATGTAATTACTTTGCGCACTACGATTAGACGGTTAGATAAACTAGACTCAACGAGAAGCGATAACTGGTTACTAAATGAGGATGCATAGGCTAGAAAATATTTTAATAATAATAATAATAACTTTTATTAGAAAATTATTTAAAAAAAAAACAAATAAAAATTTTAATAAATCCGCAAGACATGTGCACGTGAAGCGAGCGGTTTATAAATATTTTTTACTGGCGAGCAACACAAATAGTTAATAAGAATGTACTTTTTAAACAGTATTGTCACCGCGTATAACGCGAAATGGCAATAAAAAAAATAACTATAGAAATATATACAAAGTTAAAAATATATATTTTATTAATAAAAATACGAAAATATAAAATAATAAATAACTTTTATTAAGTCTATAATAAACAGTTTTAATAATAAACTTTCTATAAGTTTTTTTATGTTTTTTCTTGAAATTATTCGCCGATACAGTATGTTAAGCCGTCTCCTCTGCGATAATAATAAATATATAGAAAGAGTTTTCTTAAAATAATAATATAATAATAGTAAATAGTGTTTTTAATAAAATAATAATATTGACAAACAGTAATAATAAATAGTAATAGTTTTAAAAATAATGAAAAAAATAATGATAGAAAGTAAATAATAATCCAAAGTATCCTCAAAGTGAATAATGATAATAATAATAACAGTTCAAAGTAATAATTTTATTAGAAATAATAATAAATAATAATAAAAAGTATTTTCAAAGTAAATAATAATAATACATTATAGTAATAACTTTATTAGAAATAATAATATATAATAATCAAAAGTATTCTCAAAGTAAATTATAGTTATAACTTTATTTACAAAATAAATAAGAATAAAAAATATTTTTAAAGTAAATAATAATAATATATAGTAATAGCTCCATCAAATATTATAATAATAAATAACAATAAAAAGTATTATAAAGTAAATAGTAATAATAAATAACAAAAAATATATAGAATTAGTTTTATAGCCATAATAGATGAGAATAGACAAAGAACATTTGTAAAAAGTATTTTTGATGAAAATAATAAATATAATAATAAATAGCAAATAAAAAATAATAATAATAATATATAAAAAAACAGTTTTCTTGAATATGGAAAGTAATAATAAGTATTAATAATGTAAAATATTTTATAGAAAGTAGTTATAATAATATTTAATATTAAAAAGAAAACTAATAATACTCGCAAATAAATAATATTTTGATAAAATAATAATAAATGAAATTTTAATAAAAACTTTACCCTTAATATTAATAAAATAATAATTTTTAAATTATAATAAAAAAAAATTTTTATAAAGAGTAAAAAAAATATGTCAAAAAAAAACGTATAAATGTAAATATAAAAAATTATAAAGTATTTATACATAAACATTTATAATAATAATAAAATAAAATAATAAATAGTAAAATACAAAAAAAAATTTATTTATTATTATTATATAATAAAAGTTTATAATTAAAAATAATATTAAGTTTTTATATAATAATATTTTTTTCGTAATAAATAAATAAAATAAATATAAATTTTTGATATTTTATTACTTTTTATTATTTAACTTTATTTTTTATATTTTATTTAATTATTACTATTAATAAATTTTTATGTAATAATAATTAATAGAAATAAAACCAAATAATGAATAGAAAATTACCAAAAATAAAAAATTATATATATAAACTTTTATAATAAAAGAAATAAACATTTTTAAAATAATATAAAATAATAAAAAGTTTAATAAAAAAATATTTCTAAAAAATATTATATGTAAAGTTTACTAATAAAATTTATAAATAAAAAAATATTTATAATTAAATAATATGAATGAATATTTAATATAATAATCATTACGATGATGATTAGGAAAAAAAACCTTATAGCAATAATAATCATAATACTCATAATAATCATAATAATAATAATAGTAATAAAAAGCTGCCTTATCCTCCGAGCAAGTTGAATATCCTTAGCCATAATAGTAACTCGTCTTCCGTGAATGGCACATAAATTTCTATAAAAAAAGTTGACCAATTAAATGAAGAATAAATTATGACAATTGTAGTGAACTTAATGCAATCCTTTTGTTACCAATAAAAATATTTTAAGCTAATTAAAATAAAAAGACATCTTAAAAATTTTAAAAAAATAAAAAACTGAATTTTTTTTTTAAAAAAATGCAACTACCAATCAGAAAATTATTAGATTGATAAAATTTCCATAAATGAAAAACCAATTAAGTAAAAATAAATTATTTGTTAGAAATAAAAAGTCACCATTCACCACAAAATGGACCAATTTAAAAAAAAAATATGAACGAATCAAATGAAATAAAGAATTAATGTAAAATTGAGCCAATTAAAACTCGATATTGAAAAATACAGCGAATCACTAAAATTTAAGGGATAAAAGATACTAAAAAATGCTTTATATATATAAAAATTATATTGTGTTTTATTTTATAAGTTTATATATTATTATTTGTATAAAATAAATAATTATAAAATATAAATAATAGAAAAATTACTGAAAAAATAAAATAAAAATAATACAGTTTAAAATTTATAATATGAAAGATAAAATTATAATATAATAAATAATTATAGATAATAATAGTAAATAAATGTATAAAGCAATAATCATAGTATTAAATATACAGTTTAATTATATTTTATAAAAATAATAATTTGTTGTAAATAAAAGTACATAAGCCATAATAGTAAGAGGTAAAAAATAATAATATAGTAATAATAAATAATAATTATAATCAGAATGAATAAAAAAATAAAAATAATAGTAATAATAATAAATAAAAAATAGTAAATAATAATTATTATTATAATAAAGATAAATAAATTTATATAATTTATCTGACAGTTCTTTCTTTATATATTTTAAATATTATAAAGTTTTTATATTTTTAGAATTTCATTAAATTTTCCTTTTTGTACTATTACACTTTTTAACTTAAAGCACAACTTTATACTAGTTTATTATAACTTTACTTATAATAATAATAATAATTATAATAATAATAATATATTTCCCCCCTTTCTTTTTAAATTTATACTTCGTTCTTATTTGATACAAAGCTTTTTTGTATTTTTAAAAACTTTATTATATTTGTAATGAGTCATAAACTCAACTCTTTAATAGTTTATAATAAAAATAATAAGTATAAAGGTAAATTATTATAAATGTTTAAAAGATCATTCAATAGAGAAAGTAAACAACACTATTAGAAAATAAAATTTTGAAAAAAAATAATTAACAAAAAATATAATAATAAAAAGGAAAAGCCATAAAAAAATTTGAATATGAATTTTTTTTACATAGTAATAACATCTGTATATAAATTCTACTAGAATATTAAATATATATATTATAAAGTAAACTAACAAAGGATAATAATAGTAATAAATAGTTACGCGTCTTCGAAGAGAGCAACCAAGTAAGCTTCAGTAGCTTCTTGTAGGGCGTGAAGAGCATCTGCAGTCCATCGTAAATTAGTCCCAAAAAAGTCAGTAACTTCTCTTGCCTTTATAATAATAATAATAATACAAATAAAATAAATTAAAATATAAATAAAAAAATAATAAAAAATTAAAATATCGTCTTTACATAATAATAATAAATAAACATAAAATAAAATATAAGATATATATATAAATAAATATACAAAAAAATGTCTGCTTTAATAATAATAATAAAATATAGAAATATTTGCTTTAATAATAATATTAAATAAAAAAATTAAAAGTAAAAATATTTGCTTAAATAATGATAAATAAAATATAAAATAAGATAAAATTGTAAGTGAATGTATTAATAAATAATAATGAAAATATTTGCCTTAATAAACGTAAATAAAATATAATACAAATAAATATATAAAAAATATTAAAAAAAATATTATAATAAAATTTAAAGCAAAAATAACAATTTTTTTTAAAGAATAAAATAAATTTTTATATAAAAAGTTATAATTATGAAAAATCAAAATTTACCATAAAATATATAATAATCTTCAACTTCTCTTTTATTAATAATAAATAAATTGAGAATAAAATAAAATATTAATAAATTTAAAAAAAATAAAGCAATAATAAATAAAAAATTAAAATAAATATATAAATTTTTTACTAGATTATAAAAAAGTTATGATTATTGAGAAAACCAAAATTTACTATTAAATTTATAATCTTATTTTTATATTTTTATAAAAATAAAAAAAATTTTAAATTTAATATTATTAAATTTGAGAAATAAATAATTTTTTTATTTTGTTTATATAAAAAAATAACCAAAATACTTAAATTCCCATAATAAAATATTTTGTAGATTCTAAATAAAAGAAAATAATAAACGTAAATTTAAAAAAAAAATTGCGCGAGAATAATAATCATTAAAGAAATTGTAAAATTTTTTAAAGTAAAATAAAATATTTTCTTCATTTACTTAATAGTAATGAACCCAGTTTATATCACAAAAAGATAAAACTTAAAACCTGCACAAATATAATAATTATAATAAAAAATTGCTAAAGTTTAATAAAAATTGATTTTCACTAAAAATTATAAGCTCAGTTTATAAATAATTAAATGTAAACTCAAAAAATAGCACCAAAATAATCATTAGAAAAGCTGTAAAAGTTATAAAATTAATTTCACTAAAATTATAAATTCAGTTTATATAAAATGTTATTAAAATAAATATAAAAAGCCCTAAAAAAATTAGTTAAGTTTTCAAAGTAGTTTAAAATATTTATTTTCACTAATAATTATGTATTGTGTTTATACTAAAAATCACATGGAAATAAGAAACATTAAAAAATTGTAAAAGTTTATAAAATTTATTTAAAAAGTAAAAAGAGAGAATTCATCTTACATAAAAATATATTGACCATTCAATAAAATAATTAACAAAATATTAAAAATATAAATTATAAAAATCGCAAGAAATAGTAAACATTAAAAAGGTAGCAATAATTTTAAAAATTACTTAAAAATATTTATATCCACAAAGAAAAAGCGAATTGTTTATATAAAAAATATTAAAAAATCATTTCAATAAAAATAATTAAAAAATTAAAAATACATATAAAAAATATCGCAGGAAAATACTAAACATTAAAAAAGTTGTAAAAGTTTCAAAATTAATTTAAAAAATATTCATCCACAAAAAAAGTGAATTCAGTTATTAATAAGAACGGGGTCCAACAAAATAACTAAAAAATAAAAATTAAAATTAAAATTCGCACGGAAATAATAATAAAAAATTGTTAAATTTTTTGAGTTTGAAAAAACATTTAGTTCACTAAAATTATAAATTCAGTTTAAATAAAGAATTTTTATTCAAACAAAAGTTTTCGTTGCCATTAATATGAAGATTAAAAATTCAAGAAAAGTTTTAAATTTTAATTCAAAATTAATTTATTGGATGAATTTTGAGATAGTAAGGAAATATATTGATTCAATAAAAGTTTTGAATTAAAAGTCCTTGACGCAATTTAGATAGAGAATTTAAGAAACAATAAAAAGTAAAAATTTTATAAAAGTTTAAAATTTTTAGCGTTATTTATATAGAGTATTAAAAAATAATAAAAAAATATATAAACGAAATAAAAGTTTTAAATTCAATTTATATAAAGAATTTTAAAATTAATAATAACCAAAAACTCATTAAAAGTTTTTAAATTCAGTTTATAACAAATTTTAAATATAGAAAAAATAAAAAAAAATTCATAATAAGCTTTCACTGCAGAATTAAAAAAAACAATAAAAAATAAAAACTCAATAAAAGTTTTTTTTTATAATTATAAATCTTCAGTTGTTCTATAGAATAAAAATAACAATTTTATTACTTTGAGTTATAAAAAAAATTAAAAAAATATTTTTTGAATTATTTTATTGAAAACAAAAATTATTATTTTTGACAAAAAAAATTAAAAGTTTATATTTTTTTATACTACACTATCGAATATTTTTTTATTTATTATATCAATAACAATTATTACTAAATATCATTTATAAAAACTTTTAAAAAGTTTATAATTTCTATACTATTAATATTTCTTTATTAATTATATTAATAACATTATTATTTAATGTTACTTATAAAAATTTTCAAAAAGTTTATACTTTTTATACTATTAAAATATTTGTTATTATTAAATTCATAACAATTAATATTACATATTATTTACTATAACTTAAAGTTTTTATAATACTGCGGAATAATTTTTTATTTACTATATTCATAACAGTTATTATTCAATGTTATTTATTATAAAAATTTTAAAAAGTTTGTATTTTTTTATTTATTATTTTATATTATCTTTCATAAAAAAATATAAAATGTGTTATTTATACTACCAAACGAGCAAAAGGGAGTTTCCGTATTAATAATTCTGTGCTCCTTTGATAAAGTCTAATTTCTTTTAAGGCGAGAGCGCCCGGCCTGTACCTTCGAACTCGCTTAACTTTTTCAGACTCTAAAAAAATCATTTTCATTAAATATATATATATATATAATAATTCATTAAAATAAATGATGTACATAATGCTAAATTTTTATATATAAAAACTTCAGTTTGTATAACTTTTTATTATTAATATTTAATTCTAAAGTAAAAATGTTTATATCATAATTTTTTTATTAAAATTAAAGTATAAACATTAAATTTTGTACTAACATTTCAGTTTATATAAATTTTTTAATACTAAATATAAATTCTTGTGTATATAAATACCTATAAATCATTATATTAATGAATAATAAAGCTAAATTTTTTATGAACACTTCAAATTTTTAAAGCATTCTTTTGTTATTTTTAAAAAATAATTCAATAAAAATTAAAAAGATGTTAACACTAAAATTTCTTATAAACAATTCAATTTTTTTATTTACTATAAATAATAATACATAAATTCTAAACTATAATACAAACACTTCAGTAATATAAAAATTATTATTTTTATTACATTATTATATAAAGTCTGAAAGTATAAACGGCCTTAAAATAAAAATAATAATAATTTTTTAATGTTATAATGAGACAATAGTAATAATAAAATAATAGAAAATCTGAAAGTAATAAAAGTATATAGCAATAAATATGAAAAAATAATAGAAGTCTAAAAATAAAACTGCCTGTAAATACGGAAGTAATCAAAATTTTAAATAAAAAGTTTGCGAATAAATATAATAATAAAAATAATAGAAAGTCTGAAAGTATAAGCAGCTTAAATATATCAATCTATTAAAAGTTTTAATAATAATTATAAAGATTTATATGAAATCTAATTTATAAGTAAAACTGATTATAAAGTATATAATATTTTAAACTAAAAAAAATATAATTATAAAAAAATATAATGTAAAGTTTAATAAAAATAAAATTACTAAATAAATTTAGTAACATTCCGATTTATATAACTTTTCTTATTATAATAAATTATTTTTATTAAAAAAGTATAAATAAAAATTGAAATATTAAAGTAAAAAAAATGTTATTTAAATTCAAAACTTTAAAATGTATAACTTTTTAGTGCCATAATTAATTCTTAAAGTATAAAAGTAAAATCATATAATTTTTATATTTAACTAATTATATTTAATGTAGAAGTATATATAAATAAGAATTTGGTAGTGTAAATAATATAAAGCTGCTAAATTGTACAAAAAATTCTGTAATAAAATTATTCAATTCTATTTTAAACATATAAAGAAAAACTAATTTCTTAAAAAAAAGTTGCTAAATTAATTTCGTCACAATAACATTTTTTTTATCGAATTTAATTAATTAAGCTGCTGCTCATCTATACATAAAAGAATACTTGAATGAAAATCATCAATATACAACTACTGAATTACTATACAGAATACTTTAATTTATGTAACTTTTTAATAAAATTAACTTTAATTACACAAATTTACAAGTAAAAAAAAAAGTAAAACACCAGGAGTTTTTGGAGGATTGGACGATCTTCTGGAAGGTGTTTTTAAAGAAGCTTTTCCTGTAGAGGGCCCCCCAAAACTATTAGTTCTGGCCATCGTTGAACTTAAATTTCTCCGAGAAAAAGAAGTAAAAAGTTATCATTTTAATATATAAAATTAAAAGTGCTAAAACTGCTAAAATTAATTAAAAGTAGTCCTATAATTTTTTTAACATATATAAATTTAATAACTTTAAATTACTTATAGAAAACAATAAAAATATTTGAGTATTAACTAAATAGTAAGGTTATTTATAGGTTTAAACATACATAAAAATTAATTCTACTTGGAAGTAAAACATAATTCCTTAAAAAAAAGATTAAGAGATTAAAATATTGTCAACAAGTATTATTGTTCCTCAAAAAAAAATAAATTTTTGTACCTAAAAAGAAAGTAAAAAATGAAACGTGTAAAGCAAACTAAAGCAAAATATTTTACTTAAGTTAAATGTTATGTAAATCTTTTACTTCCAAAGCTAATGGCTTTAAAATCTCTCACTTTTTTAGTTTTTACCACAAAAAATTGAAACTAATAAAAACTGTATAATTAAGCAACGGCAAATAATTTTTTTTTAAAAAGTATGTATATTAAAAAGAAAGAGTAAGTTTTTGAAGAGTATAGGGAAAAGGATCTTTTTGGTCTCCGCAAGCCCCCGCAAATGTTGGATTTTTACTAAACGGAAGCAAAAGGATGTGAAAATAATAATAGAGCTCTCTTCACTATAGGCTCGAAAACTTTTTTATGATCTTTCGTTGCAGCTATGTATTTTTTTTCTAGCCTTTCGCTTTACTCGTGTTTGAGAAATTATATATTTTAAACTTGAAAGTATTAAATATAAAAGGTAAATAGTTAATAAAAGTTTTTAAAGTTACAAGTAGCAAAAAATAATGCTATATTCGTGTAAAAAGTGTTTTTAACTTAAAATATAATTATTGTAGTAATGCAAATTATTTTATTTAGCAAACTTACGTGATCGAGGAAATGTATAAAATAACAGCATGAGAGATATAACTAAAATAAATATATTTAAATTATATAAAGCGGGTATTTCATAAGTATTATAATGAAAATAACTTAAACTGAGAACATTATTTTTTCGAAACGGAGTTAAGAAGCGAGTTGAGTGACTTAATTTTATTTTTACAACTGTAATTGAAAAGGAGCTTTAGTTCATTCTTAATTTTCGCTATTAATTTTGTCTCCTTACAATAGTGAGTAGAGTTATAACTTCCTTAGAGACTTAATATTTGTTCATGGCGTTAGGCTTTAAAACAGGGCAGCGTTTTTAATAGAAGCTTAAAAAAATTGATTTTTTTTAAGCATCTTTAATTGAAATTTACTGAAATTTTTTTTTATCAGTAATGAGAAACAGGCACATAATAAAACGGGTCTCCAAGCTATTTAGTTTGTTAACTTTTTAGATGAATCATTGTGTAGAAAGCTACAAAAGTAAGGTTTGAGCGCTTTATTTAGTGCAAAGTTTAGGTTTAGGATATAAAATTGATATTTGATGCACTAATCTATTCTAAATTATATTCTGTAAAGGTTCATTAACATTTATCTTTGGGCAACACTATTTCCGACTTCAGTTTGAGTAGTTTTACAGAATAGTGTGTAACTTGACTAAACTAAAAATCTTCATTAATAAGTTTAATATTTTATTTCGAGTTCAAGGTTGATTTAGTTTACAATTACTTTTAGACTATAAAATTCTTTTGTTCGTATATTCTATTTTTACTTTTTTACTAAAAGAACCCTAAAAATTTTATTATAAAATTAGAACATCTGAATACTGATATTAGAAAGCTAAATGAGTATTTAAGTTATCTACTTAAGGTGCATTTTTCTTTGGATAACTAATAAATGCTTTGCTAAAACATAAGGTTTATTAAAACCATTAATAACCAAGCTAATAATAGTTACTCCCATACTAGCATTGCTAAGCAAAAAATTTATTCTAAATGACTTAAGTTAGAGAAGAGATAGGGGAGACTATAAATAAAGCTGAGATCAATTTTATAGTTGCTAAACCATATTAAAAAAATTATCTTTGAAATTGCAGCAAAAAAATAATGGCTCTACGTATTTGATCTTTTTTTACCCCCTATGCCAGGATCTTTAGCAAAGCTTAGGCTATTTTACACACCCTCTAAACTTGTTAAATGATTTTAATTTTCATACATTATAAATTTTAGATAACTCAAAGCTGAAATAATAGTTTAATTAAGTTTTGAACGAGTTTGGATTTTTCCTATAATTTTTTTTTAATTTTATTTAAAAATCGTAAATATTTTTGTTCATAGTAGTTTCTCATTTCTAATATTTGTTATTCTTACAATAGTTCAACCAAGTAATAATTAGTTTTTCAAGGGGTTAGGGAACTTAATCGGTAGTGCATTGAATTTCGAATCTGTAAGGTTTCCCAGCACTCCAAAAAGTGGCCGTCCATCTTAAGGGGGAGGAAATATTTATTAAGGTATATCTAATTTTAACACACCCCCTTATCTTATAAAATGACATTCATTCATATATCATTTATTTTTCATTTCTTATTAAGTTTGACCAATTTAGTAATAAACAGTTTATAAGGAAGCGGTAGACTCAATAGGTTGTGCGTTGAATTCTTAATCTGGAAAATTATACAATCGCGTTAAACATTTCATTTTATTTAGTCTAATAAATTCATCAAGATTGACATGCCCCCGGTTTATTCTAAGTTTCGTAACTTGTAGCCGATTTATTCAGCTTGAAACACAGGGCAATGTCTTTCCGATACAGGGAAGTTCACTTGCTCCAAGAACCTATCCCTTGCGGTGTTTTTACCATTTTTAAGGTCTTTCAGCTCGCGTACGCGCGGGCGGAAAGATCTACTTTTAAACTTGGCAAAAAATCTATTGTAGATACAGTCCTCTGGCAGGTTAAATCTTACCTGTAATCTTTAGCCAGACATTATGGATAACACGTAGGTGGAATGCAATGTGAATGCAAAAATATCTGTATCGGGTTATTTCACCCTCTTCTTTCCATAGAGGCCAACTTGAATGTTACTGAAAACCAAACCAATAAAACTTTAACACCATTTCGGCGCTCACGAGTAAATAACTGTGAACCTTTGGGACGTGATTATGGTAACTACCTGACATAAGCTCTGTTTTGTGAGTCACGTTGTACTGCCAATTAGGCTGTTCAAGTATAGGACACAACAAGTTTGCACCTAGTTTAAATGAGGCCTAGTGAAAGTTGAAGAGAGAGTGTGTGGATATTTAAAATAATAGCACTAAAAATGTTACTTAATTGAACACTTTAGCCAAATTTCATTAAAGGTTCAACTTTGGTAGAACAAAACTAACTACAGGATGCCAAAAGTAAATCATTTATTAAGGCAGCAAGTCCTAACCGCTTCCCTTAATGTTTTTGTAGTAATTCTCAGCTCAGTGCTCAACCAATCTTAAGTGTTATGGTTTCTTGAGTTTTCAGTTTCTCCACAGAAGTATTTAGGTGTTGACTAAAATCCGTTTTCTTTCTATCGTATGTAAAAATACTTGTCACCTTTTAAGCTTTATTTTTTCTAGGTCAATTTTGTCTTTCATAATTAAGTTTTGTTTAAGTTATCTAGTCAACCTTATTTTACATAAGCTTTGTATGGTAGTTACTTAACGTTGTTTCATAGGAGTACATATTTTGTTGGTACAGAGGCTTCTTTTTCAATTTTTTTAATTTATGCACCATCACTTTTGTGGTCGATTTTATCGTGGGCTATATGCATGTCACCGGGGATTTTCAGGATAAGTATTGAGTCAGGGTTTTTATTAGCTTATTACAATTTAATACTTGCAACGTTATACGTTACTTAAAGTTTTTGGATAGGGAAATTTTAATATTTCGGTCTTCAGGTTAAGAATCCTGTATTCCTCTGTGATTGAATCCGTGGGCAGGCATTATATCCGCTAAAGTGGGGTCGTGCGATTTAATTATATAGTTTGTATCATTAATAAGGGTTTCTACAACCTGTTGGTTTATAATGCATTAGTTACAATAGTTTACGCCATGTATTTCAATAAAAATTTTTAATGGGCTTTTATTCGATAGGTAATTAATTAAAGTAATCTCAAATTGCATCACGCCTATAAATGGATTGTTTGATTGTTTTGGCATCCTACGGGTCATATTCCCATTCTTTCGCTCATCATGTGCTGATAAGCATCTGTGGGTGTCATCGTTAGAGCTAGACTTTCATTTTTTTTTAATGCTATGCTGAAAGCCTGATTAACATACTCATACCCTATAATAGAGCGAATTTCTTGTAATATGGCGTTTTGTGTAATGGTGTTAAGGTTATCATTCTTCTTGAAAGTTTATTATGTGTTCTGGCTCAGTTAACAATTTCTTCTCTGATGCTACTTTTATATATAAAAAATATGGTAGGTAACATACTTTGATTCAGCATCAGTGTCTACAATGGCGTATAGATACACACCCTAGGAAGTTATAATCCCATTGTAAGATATCACTGTAAAATTTTTTACCTGGTCTCGATTTTGGTGAAAGCTCACCTTTCTTTTTTTAAATACACAAGCCAGCAAATTTCGCAATGATGAAAGGTAAGGGTTTTAAATGGGAAAAAGGAGGCGAATATATTTGTAACTAACATGTCTATATTTATTGTATTCCATTAGTAGCCCATCTACTTCATTATCTACTTTTCTTACAATTAATGCAGCATTTTCATCATGGTTATCTAATTTGTAAACATTTTTGACCATTCTTCCTCGAACTATTAGTTGGCCCCTTCTTTTCTATTACATCCCCTTTCGCTTACCCAATGAGTAGTATAATCATTATTATCGCTTTATTTTAATCTCAAAATATAATATAACCGGTTTTATAAGATTTTAAAATTTTATATTCGTTTTAATTGTAGATTCTCAACCTTTACATTTTCAATTAGAAAATGCCAGGCCTAATGTGTGAGGGTAGGCTTTTGTTTCAACTATCATATCCTTGAATTAGTTCTTAAGTAGAATTAAAAGAAGGTCACTCATTAA